TGCATACCGTTGTTAATTTTTTTTTAATAAAATATGATCTTGATTTTTGTGATGTCCTTGAGAATTGTATCACTTATGAACAAATATAATTTTAATGATTCTAATTTTTATTTATTCATAATTTAGATGTAATTTTTCATATATAAACAATTTATTATGTAATTTTAAAATTATAACTAATACAACCCGCAACAACGTGCGGGGTAAGAACTAGTATCCTGAATAATTCAAGATTGGGATCAAATAAAAGATTCTAGATTAGGATTAATTAGTTAATTCTTTAAAATAAATCTTACTATATTAGAAATAAAAATCCCCCTTTCAAACACCTCCTATGATTGCCACGTGACATGAGCAAAGTACTAAATTACCCTTTTGGTCAACCATAACTAAATTACTAAATTCCCCTTTGCACTTTACGTGACACGCTTTTTTTTTTTAAAAAAAAAATTTCTTTATGTTTCATTCAATTAGAGTGGTTTTATTTTCTTAATTATGGAGTCTAAATTGAATTGATCAATTAGGTTTTTGTTACAAAGTGTTAATTTTATTTTAAGCGTATACCCTTCGGATGAAACTTATTACAAAATTATTAAAAATCTCCAAAACTAAGTATTGATTTGGCACGACCAATGGAGAACATCAATAAATCATCTTACTAATATTTAAACTTATTAGGATCCTTTTATATTTTGTCTAACATTTACTTCAACAGATATATTCGATTAAGTCTATTAATATTTAATAAGTAACACTTATAAAACATTTCTAAAACATACATGGCGAAATACAATTCATTTTTTTGTTAAATACAAATATTTCTATGATCACATTTATAAAACATTTCTAAATCCTTCAAATATTTCTAAAATATATCGCTCCAAATATAATTTTTTTTTCAAATATAAACATTTCTAAGATCTACAGATAGACTGGGCCAGGGTCGCGCATTGCGCGACCAGACATCACTAGTATCTTATAGATATCAGAAAAAGAGTAGGATTCTGGTCATAAATATCAAAAAAGTAGTAACAATAATAATTATAATGTTAATCTTGTTATTACCTTAATAATAGTAACTTTTTTTTACAACCTTTTATAATTGTAACACGTGTTATTAAAAAATTTTCAATTATGCAGAATGCTTAAGTTTATTATGAAATTCTTCTCTCTTAATATAGAAGGATTGTAAGATTTACTATGAATTACGCGGCATAATAAGAATAAAGTACACCACTTGAATTATTTATATAAAAGTTATTTCGTAAATGAGCAAAAAGATTGTAGTTGAAATATTATATACTAAAAAGCAAACCTTTACAGTATTTGTAAGGATAAAATTCGATATTGGTTCCCAAAGTTTGGGAGTAATTTGACCAAGTCAGCAAAAACTTTTCTTAAACAAAATAAGTTCACGTAAAATTTCTTCTCACTATCTTTTTAACAAAATTTAGAGGAAATTAACGGTACCCATTAAATGTATAATATTTTATTAATTTCTTCCAAACAATGGGCCTGACCAATTTTGACACAGAAAAAAGATAAAACTCAATTTTGGTCCCCAAAGTTTAAGGAGTATTTGTACAAAATTTCTTTCACCGATTTTAGTCACCACAAATTTTTATTTCATTATTTTAAATCACCGCAAATTCAGTTCTTCAACAGTGTTTATCAGTTTTATTTTAACTTAAATTTGAATTTTATTTTATTTTATTTTTTAATTTTTGTATCTTCCAAAAGTTTTTGAAATAGGTTTAAAAATTAACCTTCCTCAAGTTGTAAGTCTTTAAATTCATAAATCAAAAGTAGCTTACATTACAGGGATAGAAAACAATTAGAGCAACATCATATATAATTAGGCAAATGATGAACATGGCACAAAGAATTGAGAAACATACATTCATGTACCCTTTATACTTCTATTCGTCTCCTTCATCCATTATAATGTAGTAGTAGTATTTTTGATAAAGAACATGACTCCAATATTTGAAGGAAAGATAAGCGCAAAATGGCCACTGCTTTTTGAAATCTAAGGCTTTGTTTGATTCATTTTTTGGTTGGTTTTTTTAAGAATTTTTAATTAATATCTGTACAGAGAACTTACAGACGAGAAAAGAGGTTTTTGGTGGCCTTGGTTGAGATTCTTGAGAAGGCCCTTTTTTTTTCTGCGAGGGGAGAACATAAAACTTTCTTGAATTTATTTGCAGCAGTTTTCTCTCTTGTTCCCATTGTGATATTGGATTGGTGAAGGGGGACTTTTGAATCTGAGATTTGGGTTCAACGGTCTCTGTTTTCCATGTGTTAAAAAGGCTGCGCAGGAGAGGGAATCGGGAGCTTACTCAGATCTGGTGATCTGGTGAGTTAATTTGATCATTTGTTGGCTGATATTGTCTGTAATGTCGCTGTTTGATGTGGGTTTATTCGTTTGGTTCGTTTTTGGGATTCTTTCTCTTTGTTTGGATTGCGGAATAGGAGATTGCGCTGTATTGGATTATCTTTCTTAAGAAAGATTGCAATATTGTTGCTGTCTGTGTAATATGAATGTGAGTAATGCCTGTTACGAATTGGAGGTTAAACAAAATTCAATCTTGGTATGGAAATTCTCTTTTTCAGCACATGTGAGATTGATATTTTATGATGGTGGCATTTAAGCATGAATGAAAAAGGGAAATTTTGTGGATATTAATGTCAACTGGATTACTTACTGGGACCAGTTTCCTGTAATTTAAGCGTGCAATATGTGTTGGTTCGAGTTCTTTTAAAAGATTAATCTTTTAATCTTTTTGATTCCTTCATTCAATTGTAGTTGATTTGCACGAAAAATGGCGAATCAAGGTGGGAATCTCAAGTCCACGGCGATAAATGGGGTGAAGATGTACACCGTCACCGACCAGTAACGGTCGTTGGCCACCTGAACACCAACCAAAAAGCTTAAAGCTCTCCGGAAAGATAAAAATTACATGCAGTGACTGGAATTGATACAAGATTTGAGGTTCGAGAATGGCACGAGCAGAATTAAGGTAACATCCGACGGGGACTACGTTATTGCTTTAGGTATTTACCCACCACAAGTCAAAGTATATGAATTACGTGAGTTTTCGTTAAAGTTTGAAAGGCATTTAGTCTCAGAAATCGTTAATTTTGAGGTACTAAGTGATGATTATTCAAAGATTGCTTTTTTATGTATTGATCGTTCTGTCTCAATCCATGCTAAATATGGAAGTCATTACAGTTTGAAAATACCTAGGATGGGAAGGGATTTAGCGTATGATTGCTGGTCTTGTGACTTGTTATGTGCTGCTTCATCGCCTGATCTCTATAGAATAAACCTAGAGCAGGGTAGGTTTCTTTCTCCACTTAGTACCCAGTCTGATGCATTAAATGTTGTGACTAGAAATAAGATTCATGGATTGGTTGCTTGTGGCGTGATGCGCAAGAGTCGCTCGCCTCACGTATTACTCAGTTTAAAAAAATGACCGGATACACTTTTTGTCCCCCAGTTTTTGAGCGTAGCAAGATCAAGTCACCATAAATTTTCAATTGATAAAAACAATGTTCTAAAATGTTTTTCTCATCAATTTTGATCAATTTAACAGAAATTTTTAAATTTAACGGGTCAAATTTTTTGACAGTTAAATCTTTAATTTTTTATTAATTTCCTAAGCAGTGGGGCCCATTCATTTGACCCAACAAAATTTTTTTTTCTTTTCTTTTGAAAAAAAAAAAACAAAAGAATAGAACATCATCGGCATTCACCACCACCCAAAGCTAATACTCCGCCACCGTTTCATCCACCTCCACCACCGAAACCGCGAGGAGCTACTCCACCACCATATCATCCCTCTTCACCACCAGCACCCTAATCATCAAGACACCCATACCTCCAGAATTTCCACTAGTCCCCAAATTGGTTGGTTTTACACGACAAGAAGTACTGAATCCGGAAAAGAGAGTCACGAAATCCTGAAATATAGCACATATATACAACAATTATAAATCGAGATAACTCATCATGTGTTGGAATTAGAGTATTTTTTTGGTAGAGATTAATTAATTTGATCTTCTCTGAAACAAAATGGGAAAATGCAACTGGTACCAAAATCGGATAAACCTCCTGATCTTTTGAATCTAATCTAATCTTCATGAATCTAATCTTTTGATAAACCTCCTCGCGTCAATCTCCTGCACCGCCGCTATTAATCACGTTGCCAATCGACGATGATGATGACGATCCCGCCGGTGTGGCTTCTCTCTTCTGCTGTTGTCGAAGCAAAGAATCGGATGCCGCCTGAAGCCTTTTTCGTATCTGCTGCCTCTATTGTGAGGAGTTTGATTGCGGCAGCAGTAGCGGTGGCACCGGTCGCCATCGTTTTTTTTTTTTTAAATTGAAAAAAGAAAAAAAAAATTTTGCTGGATCAAAGGAGTGGGTCCCATAATCAGTGAGAAATTATTAAAAAAAAAAGAGAAATTATCGGAATGAGAGTTTGAAAAATTGAAGAAATTTTTTTTTGCAAGATATAAGATGAAATATGGGGAAAAAGAAAATAAAACATAATAACAATAAAACAAAGAAAGAAATTTAACTTTAAAAAAAAGAAAACAAAAATGGGAATTAAGGAAAAAATGATAAATTTAAAATTTTAGTGAAAGAAAAAAATGAAAATCTGTAGAGAAAATCAATCAGTAATACAAACAAAATATTTTTTAAGAAATTTGGGGAATAAATAAGAAATTTTATTAGAAGAAAAAAGATTTTTGATATTTTTGTTGTTGAGAAAAAAAAACTTTAATAAAAAGAAATGAAAAAGGAAAAAGGAAAAAGAATTTCTTTTTTTGTTTGGGTCAAACTAGTGGACTTACTGTTTAGGAAATTAATAAAAAATTAAAGATTTTAAATTTGAAAAAATTCTTGTTCAATTAATCAAAATTGATGAGAAAAAATATTTTAAGGGATTATTTTTACCAATTAAAAATTTATGATAATTCGATCTTATTACCCTAAAAAATTGAGAGATGAAAAGTGCATTTTGTCCTTAAAAAAAATAATAAAAAAAAACAAGTCGGATTAGTTTTTCCCAAATCCCTAATTTGTAAGCCGTCTCTCTTCCTCCTCTTCCTCTTCGCGTCCACATCGCTGCACTGCCGCTGCTACTTCAATCCAACTCCTCAAGGTCATCGAATCAGGTATGTCTCAACCTCCTCCTGCTTCTTCTTCTTCTGCTCCTTCTTCTCTCCTTCTCTCCAGAGTCACCTTGTCGGTGCACAACAAATTTTTTTCCAAAACTGAGTTTAATTTTGAGGAAAGTTTATGATTGAATTGCAAAAATTAAACAAAAATCATGAGACTCAGTTTACTTAATGAAATATCACCTCAATTCCTTCTAATATGATTCTGATTGAACCCATTTGAGATGTTGTTTGGTGGCTTTTGCAATGAATTATGCTCTGTTTGTATATGGGTTTGCAATTTACTGAAAAATCAAATTATTACTGTATTAGTTTATATAGATTATAGAACCGACCCTCTGTTTTTATTTTTTTTACCGACCCTCTGTTTTTTTTTTTTCGTTAGTGTATCTTGTTATGCTACGGTTGCCACTAGATAGGGAGTGTTAATTTTTTCAGCAACAATCATCAGACTCAGTTTAAAATCCATATCTATTCATATATCATCTATCATTGACACCTATAATGTTGAAATTACATTTTTAGTTCACTATATTGCATTACATAATATTACATATATATAAATTGTAACATTTTGTAGAAGAGTTCGCCTCCCATAGGGGATTGGGCTGTATTGGATTATCTTTCTTAAGAAAGATTGCAGTATTGTTGCTGTCTGTGTAATATGAATGCGGGTAATGCCTGTTACGATTTGGAGGTTAAACAAAATTCAATCTTGGTATGAAACTTCTCTTTTTCAGCACATGTGAGATTGATATTTTATATTGGTGGCATTTAAGCATCAATGAAAAAGGGAAATTTTGTGGGTATTAATGTCAACTGGATTACTTACTGGGATCAGTTTCCTGTGATTTAAGCGTGCAATATGTGTTGGTTATGTGTTGTTTCGAGTTCTTTTAAAAGGTTAATCTTTTAATCTTTTTGATTCCTTCATTCAATTGTAGTTGATTTGCACGAAAAATGGCGAATCAAGGTGGGAATCTCAAGTCCACGGTGATAAATGGGGTGAAGATGTACACCGTCACCGGCCAGCAACGGTCGTTGGCCACCTGGATACCAACCAAAAAGCTTAAAGCTCTCCGGAAAGATAAAAAATACATGCAGCGACTGGAGTTGATACAAGATTTGAGGTTCGAGACTGCCACGAGCAGAATTAAGGTAACATCCGACGGGGACTACGTTATTGCTTCAGGTATTTACCCACCACAAGTCAAAGTATATGAATTACGTGAGCTTTCGTTGAAGTTTGAAAGGCATTTAGTCTCAGAAATCGTTAATTTTGAGGTACTAAGTGATGATTATTCAAAGATTGCTTTTTTATGTGCCGATCGTTCTGTCTCACTCCATGCTAAATATGGAAGTCATTACAGTTTGAGAATACCTAGGATGGGAAGGGATTTAGCGTATGATTGCTGGTCTTGTGACTTGTTATGTGCTGCTTCATCGCCTGATCTCTATAGAATAAACCTAGAGCAGGGTAGGTTTCTTTCTCCACTTAGTACCCAGTCTGAAGCATTAAATGTTGTGACTAGAAGTAAGGTTCATGGATTGGTTGCTTGTGGTGGTGAGGATGGTTTTGTAGAATGCTTTGATGTTCGTGCTAGGTCCTCTGTTGGTAGGATAGACGCTGTTTCCCCTGCTGGGGATGTTTATGATCAGGAGGTTACTGCTTTACAGTTTGACGAAGATGGAGGTTACCTCATGGGTGTTGGGAGTAGTTCTGGGAAGGTGCTAATCTATGACTTGCGGTCTTCAGTGCCCTTGAGAGTAAAGGATCACATGTATGGAAACCCTATACTGAGTATCAAGTGGCACAAGACTCTGAATTCTGGGACAACAAAATTAATCACTGCTGATAAACACATTGTCAGGATTTGGGACCCTGAGACAGGAGAAGGTATGACGAGCATTGAGCCGACTGCTGGGAATATCAATGATTTATGTGTATTTAAAGGAAGTGGATTGATGTTGCTGGCATTGGACAACAGCCAAATTCCTTCTTATTTTGTACCAGCCCTTGGACCTGCCCCAAAGTGGTGCTCTCACCTGGACAACTTGACAGAGGAGCTAGAGGAGAATCCTGAAACTACCATTTACGATGATTTCAAATTTTTGACGAAAGAGGACCTTGAGAAGCTAAATTTGACCAGTTTGGTTGGTAGTAATTGTCTAAGGGCATATATGCACGGTTACTTTATTGACTATCGTCTTTATAAAAGGGTTCTAGGTTGGTCAAATTCGTTGGATAGAAAAGATTACATAGAGAAACTGAAGCAGGAAAAACTGGAAAAAGAACGAGAATCAAGAATCACGATTAGGAGAAAACTGCCTAAGGTTAACCGGGTTTTAGCATCTAAGCTACTTTTGGAAGAAGCCGAGAATGAGAAGAAAGATGCTGAAGGTGCTGATGATGTTAAGAACAAAGCCTCCAAGAAGAAGAAGGGACTCACAGCTGAGATCATGAATGATGATCGATTTTCAAAATTGTTTACCGACCAGGACTATGAGATTGATATGAATTCTCCAGAATTTCTCGCCTTACATCCAGTGGCATCTACTACTGAGCAATCATCTTTAATTGGTGAGCATTTTGAGCTTGTGGGGGAAGACGAGGAAAACACTGATTCAGATGCATCGTCAGAAGCAGAAGATGGGCTAGGAGGTGGAAGCAAATCACGAGTTCCAAAGTTGTATGAAGCTATTGATGAGCGACATGCCGAAGCCTTCTCTAAAAGCATATCACTAGCAAAAGAAGATGCACTTCCAATAGGGGAAAAAGTGGCTGCTATGACAAAAGAAAATGTTAGCAACTCTAATGGTATCAAAGTGGGTGCAGGAGGTTCACGTGAAATTTCTTTCATTTCCCGGAGTAAAGCAAAGTACAGCGAATATGATGATGATGACAGGGATGGACTGCCTCAAAAGAGAAGGGGAATCCAAGATTTGAAGCTGAAGCCAGATAAATCAAGTTTTCGAGGCAGCTTTGGAAGGGGAGGAAATCGAGGAAGAGGAAGGGGAGGAAGAGCAAGAGGAAGAGGAAGAGGAAGAGGGCATCAATAACTTCTGGTATTATTTTGTTTATTTCCTTTTTTCTTTTGGGTTTCCATTGCCAGTGAATTAGGTAGAAACATGGTGAAGGAATGGATAATGGGACTTGCCCAGATACGTAAAGGTGCCAAAATGTCGAAATTTGTTTGTTTTTTGGTTCCGCATTGAAATTTTCGGGTACTTGCTATTGGATTACTTCAGAAGAAAATCATGCGAAGAAAAAGATTAATTTATCCTGATGAATAAGGAATTAGCTGGTTGTGAATTATTAATTTATTAATTTGTTTTGTTTACATTTTTGTTCGGTCTATATTGGGTTCTATTCCGAAACAATATACATAATCGTCGCGGCAACCAACAAAAACCCTGCCACCAATCATAACTGGAGAGGAGAAAATGTCTCCCTCTAGTTCTAATCGGGAAAATTCGTGCACCATGGTATTCTGTTGTCTCGTTCCCGTTGCATCCGAGTTGATGCGGAGAACATGGATGACTCCAGAACTGGTGCAGACGCAGACTAATTTATCCGGCTGAGAAGAGGCATCAGAAGTTAATTCCAGGAATTCATCCACATGAGCTGATGAAGTCATTGGGGATCCAACATCATGCTGCCAGAGCAAATCTCCCTTTTCCATTTCGAAAGAGTATATGCTTCCGTCTCTACAACATACAATCACCTGAGAAGGAAGTGCATTGGATATGCTGGGTCCAGCAAAGATTGGCCCACCACAACTTGCTTTCCAAACAATGGATCCGTTTGTATCAACCGCCACCACGTTACCATTTACCAAGCAGCAAATAACTGCAAAACAATCACTGAACTTTTTAACATCGGAATGTCATCTCAACAACGGCAAGATTTATTGTGTTCCTATAAAGAAAAAGAAGAAGAGACATAACAAATCAAGAGGTTTTGAAGTGCCTGAGAGTGATATCTACAGGCTCAACAAACCTTTGAAATATTCTACTAGCAGATAACATTCTTCCAGATATTACTGTTGGTGACAGTATTATCTAGCAGGGATGCATGCACGAAACATCGCACATCAGCTATCAATCAAGAATATAATTTTTCACTGTAGAGTAGACATACTATACCATTTCCATTAGAACAATTGATCAAAAGAGATCCAAATACAGGTGCTTCAAAGTCTTGGATCCACAATTTGCTGCATGACGAAGTCTGAATGAAGAACAGAACTTCTATTAAGAAGAAAGAAACAAGAGGAAAAATGGCCCCTTAACCCATAAAAAAGTGGTCACTTTCTGACATCCATCTTCAAAATCAATAAGAGGATTTTCCCATGTAACCAAGACAGCTTCGGTTTTCCATCACAAGTTTCACATGTTCAAAGGTCAGATTATCTTAAATGGCAGCTCTTACCTTTAATGCAACTGCTGTCACTAAGCCACTTGTAGATGCCACAAAGAGCTTCTTACGCTTCTGAAAGGTGATTGCACGTGGAGTCAGATAGCAAACAAAGTGTCATAAATGGTAACATCTGGAGAATGAAGGTAAAAATCCAGCATCCCAAACACACAACATACCATGTAAAAAGCTCAACAGTGACTTCAATTTACATTTCAAAATTCCCCAAAGAGAAATAATTTATACTTACATTCATTTAAAAAAAAAAAAGCAACACAAAAAGAAAAGAACTACAAACAAGCTGTGAGATTTCACAGGATGAGGAACAACACAAAATTCCCCGTGAGAAGGGAATGAGTACTTCAATACTAGTTTTGTACCTAAAAGATGTTCTATACCAGACCTTAATTTACTTGGATCTTATAGATAGTAGTTCCCTCTACCTAGTCTGATCCTTGGCATTACAATTTAAAACTATAACCTAGATGAGGCATATGAACTGGACTATTCCTAAAACTAGATCTCCTTTTGCAGTGGATGTCAGAAGTGGTTAGGTTTAGAAATAGTCAGATATACTCTCTTGAAAAGCTTTACAAACAATACACATTCATGCTGGCTCAATAACATCTTCATATTGATGACTAATTGAGCGAAAGGAGTCTTTGCAACATCAATTACTGAGTGATTGTTGACTACAAGATGCAATAGGTGTAACCAACAAGTGAAGATATGCTGTTAATAAGGCACTGCACTTGAATAAATGATTCTACATCAATGAGAAGCAACTGCAAATCAATTTGTCAAAAAGTAAAGAAAAAATAGAAAAAACAAGGATAACCAACCTGATCCACGACAGGTGCACTAAATATACTGCCCCCACAAGAAAGTTTATAAGTACAACAATGATCTTTGTAATCAAGACCATATAGAATTTGGTCATACGATCCACACCTGCAGTTAACATAAAGTAAGAATTCGAAGTTATACTGCTATCAAGATTAAAGGAGTCCACATACATAATAAGACAAGTTAAATAAAAGAAGGTTCTAAGTAAAGAAAATACTACGTTTTTGGTTAAGAAAATCAAACAAAGCAAGCAATAAATAAAAGGAAACTTATAACGAGTAAGGTGGCCCATAAAATTTAGTAAGGCAATGGAATTCCCATGTAAAGTTATATATAAAAGACCAACTATTACAGGCTGTCAATGCTAAAAGGTGACATCCATGAAAACCACGGCAACAAAGAAACATTCCAGACATTTCAATGAATTATGAAGTTCAGATTCTGGTAAATATGTCAAGAGCTAGCTCCTGAGACCATCTTACTTTAAGAACTTCAGTATATTTGCTCACACACTCATTCTAGGTAGCCCTCCAAAATTCCAAACAATTCAGCATGGTAAACATGGAACAGCACCCAAAAAAAAAAAACCCTTTTTTCTACTCCTGCTGAGAAAATCACAAAGGTAAAACCTTTTGGATAATACAATCACCTTGAGGACCACTTTACCGGGAAAGAAAAATGACTAGTCCATCTTTACAGGCTAAGAACACACTCATGCAGACACGGAAAGACATTCACCGAGTACACCAGACTTACAATAAGCTAAGCTCTCAAAACAAAGAATGAAGAAAATTACCAAACCAAATGTCTCTGTTCATCCACCAATGGCTGTGATTTGACCTATATAAAAAGAAAGGACAGCAACGAGGATATTAAGAACCAAAAGACTTTCAAAAAAAGAGCAAGCCATCTAAGGTACACATAAAAAATTCAGAGAACATAGCGAGCTTACAGTAAATCAACTAAGGAGGTCACATGTACAAAACTAATAGTCTACTATAGTATGTAGTAGTGATTAGTAAAGAACTATACATCCAGAAAGGCAACCTAGACAGACCATAATATTTTGGAAACAGCTGGACAGGGTAATGTTAACTGGCATCACAAAGTTTTTACATGATTTTAGGTTTGTTTGGCTTGTGTTTGCTCACTGATAATTTCACTAATTTCACTGTAGTAGTGATTAGTAAAGAACTATACATGAATGAAAACTAATGTCACTTCCACAAAGTTCAGCTCCACCTAAATTCATCATAGTTTAACTTAGGTTCAGCATGAACTAACTTTTGGAATGTAAAGTTTGAAACAATATGTGATCAACTTCGAGACGCAAGGGGCTGATATCAGGACACAACAAGCCACCAGATAACATAAGGAATCATACTGAGAACTAGAAAACTCATGACAGAAATGTAGAAACAAATTTCATACTACATGGTGTATGAGTCTATCCGATAAAACTTATCATACTTTCAGCACCAAGAAGTACAATATTTATGGTGAAGTTGATGAATAAACTATTTATGTTTTTTGTGCCTACCTTGTGATCGCCTTTCCTATATATAAAGGGGGAGTTGGAGTTATGAACAGTTTCTCTTTTCTTCTTTTTTCTTGGGTCAGACGCCGGTGCCTATCTTTCTAACCAGAACTATTAAGAGACTTCTGACAGAATTAAGTCCCTCTTCAAGCGTTTTTCTGGGGAACGTAGACAAGAAGTCCTTGCCTTACATGACATTGACTTAAAGGATTTCATTTTCCTAAAATCCAATCATTTCATGCCAATGAAATAATTAGTTAAAAGAAAATGGAAATCCAGCTATAGTTATAACCTGGAAATTACATGTACATGAACTTGATTAAAAAATCAGCCAGCAAAATTCAATACCATGTGTCAGCCTATGACCAGGCATGTCACATCATAATTGACAGAGAAAAACAAGTCTGATCATTCCAAGCTATTAAGGAGAGAAGGTGCTGAAAATCAGAGTCTATTAATCCCTTGTGAAAGAAAAGATTCCTCGAGTGAAGAGGGAAAAATCACGAAGAAAGAGAAGCGTAGAAGCTGGGAAACTGATGCAGGGTGGAGGCTTAAATGAGTGAAACACAACATACCATCAATTACACTATAGCTTGAAGGTATAGAACAAAAAATGGGAAGGCAAGGAAAGCTAAGAAGCAGAAAGAAAAGATTGTATGAAGCAGCTCTTATGTCAGATTATCATTCCAAATGAAAGTAGTTTATCTCAGATTCATCATTCCAAATGAATTCCCCAAGGTAGGCAATAGATATCCACAACGAAAGGAAAGGGGTCTTGAATAGGCAGATGGTCAAAGTTCACTAAGCTTTCACAAGGAACATGCCCAGGCAAGTGTTTCATATTAAAGTTCACTAATGAGGATTTTTTGCGTACCATATCATAAGATAGATTAAGCAAAATCTGGCTAAACAGAAAGGATTGGGAGAGTCTTACTTCACCACCGGTTCGAAACTTCCAACAAATGTTGCCATCTGATACATTTAGAAAATAAATGTTTCCTTGATAACACCCAACAACAACCTGGGGAAACACAAACTGATCAGCGCACATTGGAAAAAGAGAACTTAGCTAAAAGACCTGAGAAGCTAAAACCTAACCTGAGAGAAGTTATCAACAACTGCAGCCGAACATTCAGTCCTTCCTTCTAGTTTGATCTCCCAAAAGACTGAACCACTGAATCAATTATCAGAGAATATTCCATTAGGAGAATAGTGGGCATAAAATAAAGTTCAGGTGCTTTTACTATGTGATATTCGAACTCATCCATGCATATTCAAACTCATCCATGCTAAACAAGCAATCTATAGAAAGATCAACAAATAATTTATTCAGCTATATCAATGGAAAAATAGTATTCAAAATAAATTTACATTAACATCTGAAAAAATTTGTGACGGTGCATTATTTTGTTTAAGAGCTCAGCCAATTGCTCAAACTTCAAAAATAACTTCATCATACTAAGAAATTCAAATAATTTATAAATGTTTGAAATAATTGATGGAACTAGTGCTATAATGAATTAAGTAACAACAACTAACCATTTCACTCTTTCAAAAGAAACACAAAATTATGTTTATCAATATGTATACTGTTATAAAAAGATAACAATTTCTGTAGCAATTTGCTGCACAACTAGTTGCTCGTCTTCCCATTCAAAGCAACCTAAGTAACAATCCAAATGTATGAAAGCTGTAAATGCAAAAAAAAAAAGCAACAATAAGCTTATATCTCACGCCCACCATTTTTTTTATCATAAAGATTATCCAAATTATGTCATCATCATACCCTTTTGTTGCGTTATGCTACATGTCACTCTTCGCTTGGTCTACAGTAAACAAGTTCTATACATGTGTAGAAACCAACAAGATGCAGTATATATGGCTACCATTGTCATTTCAAAATTCGTAAAAATATTTAGATTCATAAGTGTGATCAGTAAGGAGTCAAATCTTCCATACCTTTTGGCATCTACGCAAACAAATTTCCCTGAATGAGATCCAATAAAAAGGAAGACTTCGCTTCCTTTACATACAATAAGTGGTGATGCATCAACACAAGACTCCATATGCACTTTCCACAATTGTTGCATATAAAAGTTTCTTTCTCTTTGAACATGTCCAGACAAGGTTATCAAACTCAATCTATCATCAGTACCAGCTTTGCCGCGTGTAGATTTGTTGCAGCGACTGAAGGAAGAATCTGTATGAAGAAAGTTACTATCCCAGAAGCAGTTATCTTTTAAACTACCGTACTCTCGGAAAACAGACAAATTCAAATCCTTTTTGAGGCGTTTCGCTTGGTAATCAGTGCTTGAATAATCAACTACTCCAAATGATTTTCCTTGATGCTTCCTTTCATGATAGCTAGCAATCATGGAGTGTGCATAAATTTCATGTGTTGCTCCAGAATTGACTTCTAGATTAGCACCAATTTCAAGATTACTACTGGATAATTCTATCTTCCTCTGAAGAGCCATTTGAAGCTTCAATGGAGTTGGGAAGGCATACAATAATTTCATATTGATTCCCAAGCTGTAACTAACATATGCTGCGGATAATGAATTACCACCAATATCAAAGAAATCATCAGCAGTAGATACCTCTTCGACCATTAGGGCATCACAAAAGACCTGTTTCCAAACAAACAATAAACAGATATTAACAAACCTCCCATGGAATAATCATCAGGTCAAGAAAAGAGGTGTGACTGCTAGATCAGGTATACAAATTTAAAATAGTACAGCATAGATCTTCATGCCAAACAGTTTCACATGGGGAAATTTTACTGAAAGTAGCGGACATGCCGTAGCTAGAGAGGTATCCAAGGTTTTCAATTAAGAAGAAAGCCTTTTGATTCCAGCTATGAACAGACGGAAGCAGAATACACACAAATTGGCACCATCAGCAAAGTTATTGATATTGAAAATTAAAATGGAAAAATAAATTGCTGTGTCTTCCAGAAATCATCTTTAAATCTATAACAACAGTCTTAATCACTACGAAATACAGTGAATGAGATCACAAAATTGTTAATTTTTCTTTGGTTCTGCTAATTCTCATACTTAAGCTTCTCAATTGGCTCCAACAAGGTCAAAGAATTGGAGAAACATTACATTCCAGTCAACCACAGGGCACGTAATAAAGGAACACAATAAGAGATGTTATTAAGGTCCAAGAAATTGATGAAACATCATATTACTGTTAGTTACGAGGAAAATAGTATTGCAGGATGACATATAAGAGATGTTTTTACAACTCTACCCCAATGAAATTGTTCATTGAATATTAAGTAGTCAGTATATATGATTTCAAAGGTCACTGTGCCACCCTCACCAATTGCCCTGCAATTAGCATATAGGAACCATAGGAAAAAACAAGTATCTAAACTCCTATACTCCCCTTCAGATCCTCATGACCAGAAATTTTGGTTTATACAAAATTTAGCATATCAATGACATGGAAAGAAAAACCAGAAAGTAAGAACAGTACATGAAGAAAATCTTAATTGTACTTAGACCTACGACCTTAGTAATGGCTTTTAATAGATCATGATCCTGAAATTCGTCAGTTGTATGCCCCGACCGTTCCTTTGAAAATGAGGACCGAAGCAACCTATTATAGTCCACTTTCCCAGAAGAAGAAAGAGGTAAGGATTTTGCACAAATAACACGGCTTGGAACTACTGCCTCTGGAAGTTTGTTGAACATCCATCTCCGGATCAAAGATTCAAAATGTTCATTAGAGTCTTCCTTTGGCTTTCTCACCACATGTGCTTCAATATACGAAACGTCTCCATGATTCTTCTGGCAAACCACTGCGGCATTAACTATATCTGGATGCTCAATCAATGTTCTCTCTATCTCTTCTAAAGCAATTCGTTGGCCATTGAACTTAATGGTGTGGTCCTCCCTTCCGACAAAAATAAGCACACCACTATCAAGTTGTCTAGCAAAATCACCGGTTTTGAAGTAATACTGATGTTTAAAGTTGCTATGTGTGCGGCCTTCTTCAGGCAATTCGACATAAGAAAGTGGTGTAATGGAAGGATGATCATAGTATCCAGCAGCATTGCACAGTCCTTGAACACATATTTCCCCGTATCTGGGTGCATCTTCTCCAACGAGCACAACATCACAGTTATAGAGGGGTAACCCAATCGGAACGCTGCAAACAACCTCATTATCCAAAATCATTGGTAACTGCTTGCAATCAAAATACGTACAATCACCTGAAACCTAAGATTCAAAAAGAATTACAGGTAAAAAGAGGGCACTTAGTCTAGAATTCCATCTTTTAAAGAAAAGACTTACAAGGAACCAATGATTACAAAACCAAGTTCAGAGTTCAACCAAGAAAAGGAGAATAAACAAACCATCAAAGAGTATAAAAAATACAAGTGTCAATTCCACTAGTGAGTTATTACAAAAGACGAGAATTAAACTGAACATGCATCAACCACAAGTTGTTATTGCTTTCTACGCTTGGGCGAAGCAATAAGTTAAAGCCATTTCATTTTTGATGCTTTACACTTAACAAATGATAGTGTCAATCCCAATCATTCTGCAAGATCCCGGTCTAAGCAGCCAAGTCCAAAAACAAGAACTAGAAAGAGCCAGAATATTTGGGAGACAAAGAGTTAAAGAGGTCTATAATCATCTCCAGAATGCTGTACACTGAATCACTGATATGAAAAGTAAGAGTTAAAGTGCTCTATTGTCTCCACGAATGGTTCACTCTAATATAAAAGATGCATATTCTTTGCAGGACACTTGGATATTAGGGATGAATGTCAGGACTTGCGACTCTATCGAGAAGAGAATTAGAGCCGTGAAGAAACATAAATAAGGTGAACCAAATTTGAAACTCCACGGATGAACAACAATTATAAAGGAAAATTTCCTCTTTCTTCCAACATGAAAAATTTTTATCCTGATTAGAAATGAGACCAAATTTTCGGTGGGGAAAAAGTACACCATGAATAAGATTAAATAATTGAAAAAAAGAAACAAAAGAATTTTCACATTCCATTTTAAACCTTAGACAACCTTAACAGTTTCATTTCTTTTCAATGTTAATTGGCCCAGTTTCTTGATGTTAACTTTAGGAAGGAATCTAAAAAGATTACCGGGGCACGGGGAAAAAAAATTAATAAGTAATCAGCTAGCTAAAATAGAACAACAAAAGTGACCTGTCAGCCTATCTTTTGTGATTAACCACCTCCTACAGCCATGGTAAGCCATGGTAATCAAAGTAGAATTGTATGCATACTAACTCAACAAGAAAGAGGCATATGGTAAGTGACAGCCATATCGTTGGTTAATTTAATGCTCCATCTTTCAGGTGTCCACCATAGTAAGGGATTTAGTAAATGATCTCATCTAAACTTTTTTCTCAAAGGCTCCTACATTTTCTGCTATTCTTTCCCTTGAACTCAACAAGGGAGAAGACAATCACAAAAACAAGAACATTATTCATCATGTAGGTTCATATGCACTTAAGGTTTAAAAAGAAAAAAAAAAAAACACACACACACACACACACATTCTCTGGAGCAATTTTGACCAAAAAAGTTGATTTCGGTTTTTCTTTAAAGGCAGCTTATAAGTAGCGTGAGTTCGAGCCTTCTCACCTCTGTACTACCATATAAATTCAGAACAGCAGTATGAGGTAGTAACTTCATCAGAGTCTCACATAGGGACAGGTGAAAAACTTCACCGCTTAAAACCAGAACTTTCAAATTACTTTGCAGTCTTGCGTAATTTGGACTTTGCAATGGAAGAAGAACCGTTCTCATTAGTGATGGAACAGCCACAAGCCTGCTCACAGCATACATCTGTCAATCAACAAAACGAAAGCATTTGATGTCTGAATCACTGTAAGTAAATGTTACACTTGCATTTGGTCATAAACAAGATAAAATTAGTTCTCAAATCATTAAGATTCAATACATTCACTGACACTAACAGTAACAGTATTGTTGTACTATTTATGTGGCCACAACAACAATTTTTCAGCGTGATGTAGCAGAAGAGAGATGAAATAAACTCCTACAAAAATATTATGAATCTTTCAGTATACCAATTCCAGAAAAATCTTTAGAACAACAAGCTTTCATCCCATTAAGTGGGTAATTATCAAACGAAAACAATTTATTTAAAGCCGTGAGATAGGCAGATAGAGGGGATAAAGGAAATTAAAATTGTAAAATGTGCAGCTTCTCATTCAAATTACTCTGATGTTCCACCAACTACCTTCTCGTGTAGAAACCTAACACAGCTACTATTTTTCCATGAAGCATTGCATTTGGGACCAAAGATGTGCTCCTATTTACTGACTAGAAGGCAATAATCATTCCACTGTATTAAGGAGTTCTCTCCTACGATAAAGAATGATAGATGTTTTACAAAGAATATCAATAATAGGCAACACAGAGTGCTGGACTAAGCTACGTTGCAAACCTTCATAAAGAAGGATACAAAGGCATAAATACCATATCCAGAGAATCTGCATACAGTAAGGAAACACTTCAAAAATATACTGCATATTAAACAAGAAATTTGATTGTTTCACTGATATCTTTTAGGTCTCATTACACAATACTGAGGTAATATATTCTAAATCAAGTTAACAAAGACAATTTTAAGATAAGTCAGTCACCTGCAAGAAGTCAACAAGAAGAAGTATATTTTCCTTGAGTTCATTGAATGGAGGTATAACTATGGTATTATTAGTAAGCATGCCACATAGGAATTCTTGCACATGGTCAATGAAGCTTGTAGATGTCTTGAAAATTAGATGTTCTTCTCCACGCAGGGGATAAACGTCTTGCATCCAAAAGAATCGGTTCAAAAGACCTGCAAAGGGCTGACAGAACAATTTGGTTCAGATGAATAACACAAAAATACTAAATCATGAAACCAATTAACAATCTAACCTGCTTCAGTGCCACAAACGCCTTTTGGCTTTCCTGTGGATCCTGAAGTGTACATCAAATAACTAAAAAATCTTGAGACTTCAGGTTGACAAGGCCATGGGAGATCACAAAACTCATCATGTTGTATGACAAAATCTGTCATAGAAATACAAAGAACAGGACAATGACCGCTGGAGACTAGCCAATTTAACTTGTCAAGCTGGTGGAAATACTTATCATCACCCGAGATTTTACACCCTATAACAAGATCGGCTCTAGAAGAGGACACAACAGACAGAATCCTTTCTTTGGGCCAAGATGGATCAAGTGGCATGAATGCCTCTCCACACCTTAGGACAGAAAGCACACCAACAATGTACTCCACAGAGGGTTCCATGTATATTCCTATTCTCCTTGGAATATATTTGGTCCCCGAAAACTTAATACGCTGTCCAGTAGAACTTGAAATCTCTGAGAATTCAAAAACACCGGAGCATTCAGTCAGATTGAAAAGAGAAACTAATCATTTTGACATAACGACAGTAATTTGGAGGACGGAAATTTTCACAATAAGTACAATTTCAAAATCATTTCTCAAGTAAACCAAGTCCAAGAATCACTTCTGGTGCTAATATTTCACTGCAATGATTCAGAAAAACATCTGCTCACAAGGAATGGAAGCAATTAACTGATTCCTTTGATACAGTTAACTAAACTAATCACCGGTTTATCTTGGAACTAAACTGGTACAAACATCACTACGGCAGCTACAAGACATAATAATTGAATTAAGCCCCAAGGATACCTGATTGAGCAGGTCTGATGAGCTGAGAATCATCACCCCCATCAAGAATGCGCTTCAGCCGACTACTAAGAACATCGACTGCACGGTGAATATCGGAGTACGTGAAGCACTGGTCACCTTCGTATACTGGAGGCTGCGGGGAGGACGACGACGATTCAGGCTGCGTTGTTTGGGACTCAATTGACTCGTTTACTGTAACAGACGGTGATGTTTGCCAGTCACCGGCGTAATTGTTGCGAGGCTGCTGGGAAATTAACTTCGCGCCACCGGAAGCATGTATAACGGCGACTTTATCCGGCGATTTTAATGCCGAGTAGTGAAACAAGTGTGATATGCAGCAGCCAGGCCGCTTGGCCTCCCGTTCCGGCGGCCGCTCATTGTTGTTCGCCATGGTCGGTGGTGGTGTGTAAAAGGGAAGATAAGAACAGAGGAATGGGTTATAAACATGATTTGACCCGTCCATGCGTCGTCGTTTAGATCATTGAAAACCCACTTTCTTCGTTTAAAAAATTTCCCCATACACCCAAAAGTCCAAAACCTCTCCTCGCATCACCGCCACTTTCAGGCTGAGATAGTTCGCCGGCCACCATCTACACCACCTTCTTCCGGTACTCATAACCTCTCGGAAATCGATTCAGTTGATTAGGTCTGACTGGATTTGTCTTTTGATTGCAAGACTGGTGACAAGTTGTAGTTTGTTGAGATGCACTTGCTGGAGAGCACCATATTTGTTTGAGTGGATTATCAAGCAGCCAAAGCAGCATTTACTGCTGCCAGAACCGCAGCAAATGCAATTTATGTTCTTGCAACAGATCAGGGGACGATAGATTTACAGAGTGGGATTGTGCATGGAGAGGAAAAGGACTATAAGACAGCTTATAGCTATTTCTATGAGGCATTTGAAGCTTTGAATGCCCTTGAATATCCTCAGGCCATGTTTAGTCCAAAGTACATGTTGCTGTGCAAAGTCATGGTTTGCCAGGCTGATGATGTTGGTGGCATAATATCATCACCCAATGTGGGGCTTGCAATTGCAATGCCAGGGTCCTCAACTTGATCTGGTTGTCCACACCACAAGAACCTTATTTGTTGTCTCTATGACACCTTGTTGGAGCAGAATCTTTGCAGGTTGATTGAACCATTCTCAAGGGCAGAAATAGCTCATGTTGCTGAATTAATTGGGTTGCCTGCAGCTGACTATTTCGAGAAGAAGTTGTCACACATTATTCTGAACAAGAAGTTTGCTGGAACTCTGGATCAGGGAGCTGGTTGCCTAGTGATTTTTGATGATCCCAATGCAGAAGCCATTTTCCCAGCCACCACATTGGACACCATTGAGAACATGGACAAGGTTGTGAACAGTTTGTTTTTCTTTCGGTTTGTTTCCATATACGACTTGATGCCCGAAGAACATGTTCCGTTTCACGGCCCTCAGGCCTTGTTGATTTCGGAGTTATATGCTTCCCGGAACATTTTCTTTTAGATGTTGGATGGCTGAACTGTTTTCTTTTGGTTTATGATCCATCATTTCATGTTATGAGGTAAACAGCAGGTCATCCTCACCTGAAACTTAAGTACTCCCTCCCTCTATCAAAATTGACTGTCCTGTTTGTTGTACTAATTTTAGGATGCAGGGAGTAACCAATTTCCCCCTAGAGCATTGTCTAGTTTACTCATGTTCAATGCAAATTCAGGATCAACAGATGAGATTTGTTATCCACTGAGGAAAACTAACATTCATTTTAGAATATTAGTTAGCCACTGAGCATTGAGTATGCTGAATTCCTTCCTTCTTTGTTCAGCTAGCCTTCATGAAACATCCTGATACCTCAAAATTCAAACCTATGCCATACTTTTTGTAAGATAAGGAGTACAGAAGCTTTACAGGACATACAATTACCGGAAGATGATGTAGTGTTGTAGGAATATTTATGCATTACATGATCTAATTGTAGCAGCATTCATAATCATCCCTTTTGGGTATAGTTTAGGAATTGTTACAGGCAACACAGGAAAAGAACTTGGAAATGAAAGAACGCGAGTTGGATTGTTTCTTTGAATGATCAGCTACCGGTAGAGGTAAAGAACAAATTGTGGATTCATCAGCTCCATTTTGCTTCAATCTCTCACATTCATCTAAGAATTTCTTGAATGAAGTATTGGCATAATCCACTGCTGTAGCAACAGTAATGTCCTCCACAAGTTTGTGTGGATAAATGTCCTTGATATGGTCTCCCCCTAACACTGCTGTCATCTGAACCAATTCTTTTTGGAAATCAGTTAACTTGGCATCTTCTTTGGCTTCTGTGTCCCTCAGCCTCACAGGCTCAGGCAAAATTTCTGCATAAAATGAAATCCAGTCAAACAGCAGAAACAAAATCTTCAAAAATAACTCACCTTTCTCAAAGATCAAGCTTATGTACAAAAGTTAACTCCAAGCATGAAGATTAGTGACAATTTGTGCAGAAAATTTACCAGGGCAGTCAGTTCTTGGATTGTCTCTGTTGATCAAGCTCTCAAAAGTGCCGGCCCAAGCGTCGCGCTTGGTAAGAAACTCTTTCAAGTTGAAGATCTTCTTGACGGTTGCTGGAATCGAAGAATGCTCGAATTGAGATGTAGGATATGGTCCTGATGGTCTATGTAACACTACACAAATACATCCAGCAACAGAGTAAATAGTAAAATGCGAGTATTGACAGAGACCGCCAAAATGTTTTTTGAAGTAAATGTTCATTACCTGTTCCTTTTTCGATCCAAGGAGATATCAAGATGGCGGGAACCCTTACTCCTAAGCGATCAAACTGGAACTTGTAAGGCTCCGGTCCAACAAGGTCATCAGGGCTAGGAACTCCGGTGACCGGAGTCGGAACATGGTCGAAAAAACCACCATGCTCATCGTATACAATTACAAATACCATCTCATTCCATTGTGGACCTGATCTTAACGCTTCATAGACTTGTTTCACAAATTTTTGGCCCTCGAACACATCATGAGAAGGATGATCATCATTGCCTGGCAATATCTTTAGGTCAAAGTACCTCTGTTCAATTACTACATAATTTGGAAGCTTTCCCTCTTTGCAATGCCTTTTGAAAGTGAGATCAAAAGGGTGAAAGTTCTTCAAGTACTTGAGTTTCCGAAGATTTCTATAATTAATTAGAGCAATTCCCAAAAAAAAAAAAAAAAAATTCAGCAAGAGAATACTCGTAAGATAAAGTTTATTAATAACATAGATAAATGAAATCAATTTTTTGATGAAACATTAATATAAAAGCTGAAAGGAAAATTTATCTTTTTGATGATACCCCTCCATCCCATTTCCATTGTTAACAATTAAGCAGTACCTAGCTAATTAATAAATGTTCTATATTAATTGGTCCATAAGATATGATGAAAAAGGTCTTTTACTGATTTTCTTTGTAAAAAATTATATATGATCGTCCAACAACTCTATTTTAGACGAGAATGGAGGACGTACTGCAAAAGTGCATCAAGAAATGACTCCATTAACACGTAATGATCAATCAAAGGCACCCCATGAGTTTGATGTCATCACCACAGCTTACAACTTGATTACATCTTACAGGGCACCCCAATTACTGCTCGTTTTATTAACACTTAAGCTACGCTAGCTAGCTGCTTCTTCATATCTTCACACTTTTCACATGAGTTTTCTACGAAATCATCCCATTCTTCTTCTAGAATTTTTCTTTTTTTAAAAAAAATTCATAAAACGGATATTTCAGCCAAAATAGGGAATATATACGTCGCTAAATCGTTTTGGGTTGATCACATTGACTCGGAATTAGTAGAAGAAAAAGATTTAGATCAACAGATCCTTTATCTGATGATTTTGATTTCTTGTTGTTCATATACCATTTATCATCATAACTGATTATTGCATATTTAACACAAACGTGAAACAAACTAACTAATGGCCGGTGATTAAGCTAAAATATATATTATTTTTTTAAAACTACAATTATGACAGAAGGATTCAATACACTCCTATCAGCACTCAGAATACATTAGCTCCTGAGAAAGAACTCCCGATCGAGGGATCGATGCCATAATGATGATGCACAAAAATCATATGAACTTAATTTTATATACTTCTGCATTGTGCTACTATTAACAACGTGGTAGTAATGAGCACAATATATAACTACAAGAAATTGATCAGCTCTTTCCCAAAATGGGATGCTTCAACAACTGCTAGTTGTTCCTTATTCGTAATTGCAATCGAATCAAATCCATAAAAGGTAAGAAAACAAATTTGTGTTATTCCCATTTAGTCATAGGTGAAAAACTAATTATATAAGGAACCAAATGTGTCACTTTTAGAACAAAATGAACCCCAAAAAAATGTCCTTTACCAATCCATATTTCATTCCACGTCCATGGATCTAGGTACGTTACAAAAAGAATATTCCACTCAGGATATCAACCCATAGTTTTGAAATGAAGACAATATTATCTAGACGCAAGTTCTTAGGAATTCAAATACCTTCAGAAAGGGGGAAAAAATGAAAAAGAACTTTCCCTTTCAAGTATCCTTCCTCTGGTATTTGCATACGTATTTATGTAATTGACGAATTTTGAACTAAAATTAACTTAATTTTGTGTTTTTAACAAATACTCCATTCGTTCCAAAAAAATACTCCACATTGAGTTTTAAATTTGAACTAAAACTAGTACAAATTTAAAAATTCAATATAGTTATTTTTTTGGAACAGAGAGAGTAGTAAGGGACGGAATATCTTCATTTTAAGAAATCATGTAAATAACTAATCAAAAAGAAAAAAAAAACCTGTAAAAAAGTGTGGATGGAGGGAATTGATAGTAAATTCCGAAGTTAAGGCCAGCATCATCCAAAGATTCAAATATGGTTTTCTGGGGTAACCCTTCAACCAAAAGCTTTGTATCATTACTTGTCAACCCATGAGAAGTAGCCGAATGCACAAACAACCGGTTCGGCTGTGTGGAAGCCGGAACCGATGCGAACCACCGATCACAAACCGCAAACTGCGACACCAGCTCTTTATAAACCGGCACGGCTTCCGGTTTGAACCCGTTCATTACTGTCTCGGACATCCCTTTCTGTTTCCGTTCAGCATTCTGTGCAAATCCCTGCATGGTTGGTTTTAGTTGCTTGGAAGCCACGTCTTGTGTCCATTGCTCCCCGAAAATTTGTTCGTAAATATCTTGGATCGAGTGACCCGGATCCGGGTCAACGTAAATGGATTTTTCCGTGAAGTATAGCCGGCCGGAGTTAGGATCGGAGGTGGACAAAGGGTTGGAATATTCGGTTCCGGTGGCAACGCCGTCGATTTCCGGATTAAGGGTTTTCATCCACCCTAACATGTGATCAAAAGAGCGGTTTTCTTGTACTAGTACTACTATTGTTTTGATTGGGAATGGGAAATTCGATGATGGTTCTGAACCCATGATGGAGCTTTGAAAGGAATGAGCAATGAGGACGATGGATAGTTTTGCTTGTGGAAAGAATTGATGGTGGATTAGATTTCTTTTATAGAAAGAAGCATTTGAATTATTTTGAAAATCTTGTATTTTGGATAACAACAATATATATATGTCGGACGTGTTTAGATTAGATGTATTGGTACGTAGCAGCCAGGAATACTACTTCAGTCAAAATTGCAATTTTAAACTTGAAAGGAAGGTATAAATTTTGAAATTGAGTTATAAATTAAAGAGGATGGTTTACATTTGGCTTCCTGATCACGACTGCTGAGTGCTGAGTATAAATTTAAAGTTAAGTGTGGTTGAAATGGTATGTGGAAAGTTAGTCTTAGTTGTTTTAGTATTATGTGCAGTATGTGTTGCATGCTCAGAATAATTTTATTGAGTGATGAGCTTTGTATCTGTTTAAGGTCCAATCAAAAAACTAATAAAGCACTCCCTCTGTGCAAAAAAAAAAAAAAATGCAAATTTTACAATTTAATTTTGCCTTTTTTATTTTTATTTTTTTAAGGATAGAGTAAGTATCAAATATAATTCTAAAGTGATAATTAAACGTCAAATGCTGGAAAAAGATATCTTCTCTATATGTAGTTTTTTTTTGGGGGAGGGTGGGGAAGCATAGGAATCTAATTATAATGTACTTGTAACACACAATGAGAATTTTTTATTTATTTCTTTTATATAATATGCTCTTAATATATATATATATATATATATATATATATATACACTTAATACATATTTTCCTTTTAATATGTCCAACACATGAAACATATAGCTAAAAAATTTCCAACCCAATTTCTATATTGTACATATACAAGATACACACTCAAAAACAAACAAAAAAAAAAAAACAATAAAAAAATGACTACACTAATTTCCCAGCCCAATTTCCACACATTCGAAGTTTGGGGAAGAAATAGACTGATGATTCTTTCGGCATATTTCACTTAACAACTCAGATTCTGTTTCTGTTACGTGACGTAAACTAGATTATGTTTATATATCTAATTGTATCATTTTTTTCCACGAATTTTTTGGTCTCTTCAGCACGCTTCCAATTATAATGGATCTTTCATTTTCTAGTATATTTGAGAACTTTCTTTTGTAATTAAACGGTAATTTGGATAGATGCTCAAGTGATACTCAGCATATGCTGTGCTTGTGGAATGCGTATTCCTCCTTTCATGTGACCTGTGCATCTAATTACATTAAAGAAGAGCTTCGTTCGATTAATATTTGCTTCCAAATCCACTGTTAATACATTTAACTACTCCCTTCCCCTCCGATTCTTAATATAAGGTATTTTGATTTGTTCTAAATTTCATTTAATACGTATTTTTAATCGATCAAAAAATCTTAAAAATATTTTATAACAATCAACAAAACACCACGAATGTGAAAATATATTTTTAAGGTTTTTTGTCGATAAAAAATCTGTACTAGGTGAAACGTATGACAAATCAAAATGCTTTATATTAAAGACCGGAGGGAGTATATTATTCAAATGAAATGACAATTATAATAATATATCTTAAAATAATTTTAAAAATATCAATATTTTTATACGATAGAGGAAAAAAACATTCTAATAAAATTAAATGATGCTATCCAGTCTTCAATAGCATATAAAATAGCTCTTTTCAAACAAAAAAGAAAAGAAAAAGAAAGAAGCTCTTAATAATCTTTACGGTTTCAACAATTTCAAAGGTGAACACTTTAAGATGAAAAAAAAAGTGGAAGTTCGTGTTCTCAAAATTAATTTTAGAAAAAGTTAAAATTCATAATCTTGAATATTTGCATTTAGCTTCTTCTTCTTTGGGGTTGCATTCCACCGAACGGGTTGAAGTCGTGATTAAAGCACTGTATTATCGGTATTTCTTACTAATGGAATATTTTAATTTAATTGTTTTAGGTATTTTACCTCCTTTTTTGTATCGGAAAAAATTGTAAGAATATTTCCTACTAAAAGAAAAAACCAAAATACTACATCTATGTTTCAATGTAAATTTTTTACATTTGAGCAAAGACGCTAAATCCGAGAACTATTTTGATGTAATAAATATTGTTACACCAAATTTAATGTAAATTATTATTACCCTATTTTTTGTGCATTATCTTTTTACTTTAATCTGAATACATTTTTACTGTATAGTTAAACTTACAAAATAAATTACATTGCGAAAGTTTATATCATATAATATTATCTTGTTGAAATCTTTGAAATAAGACCCATAGGATATAAATCTAGTTTTAGTTATTAATAAAAATAAATATGTACCAGAAACGAAAAAAAAAATTTGATACTTCTGCAATCAAATGCAATTGCAAAATAAACTACAGAAAATTATCACCAAATTACAAGATTTTAATGTAGGAAGAAAAGATAATATTCATTTCCACACTGTTTATGAATTGAAAGCAATGCCAATCAAACACGTAAATCTTGGAGCAACAAAATACAGCACAAGGAAGATTGCTAGTTCAATGAAGAGATTATGTTACATGAGCAAGACTTGGCACTATATAACACGATCCCTTACGGTGAAGTTTATGAATTGTTACAAGCAACACAAGAAAAGAGCTTGGAGACAAAAGAGCGAGAGTTGGCTTGTTTCTTTGGCTGAATAGGTTCACCAGGTAGAGGTAAAGAAATAATAGTGGATTCATCGGCTCCATTTTGCTTCAATCTCTCAAATTCATCAAAAAACTTCTTCAATGAGGTGTTGACATATTCCACTGCTGAAGAAACAGTCATGTCTTCCACAAGTTTGTGTGGATAAATGTCCTTTTCATGGTCTCCCCCTAACACTGCTGACATCTGAACCATTTCTTTCTGGAAGTCATTTAATTTAGCATGCTCCTTCGCTTCAGTCTCCCTCAATCTCACAGGTTCTATCAAAGTTTCTGCATGAATGAAATCCAGTCAAACAACCAATACATGAAGCTTCAAAAAATGAACTACTCCCCTCTGTCCCGAAATTATTGTCTAATTTAGATTTTCATTTTTAGTTCAAATTGTACTAAAAGTAAAATCCTAAAATGAACAATAATTTTGGATAGAGAGACTGAAAGAGAACACTTTTTTATTAAGTAGCAATAATTTGTGCAAAAAAAATTTTACCAGGGCAATCAGTTCTTGGATTGTCTCTGTTGATCACACTCTCAAAAGTTCCCGCCCAAGCGTCGCGCTTGGTAAGGAACTCTTTCAAGTTAAAAATCTTCTTCACGGTGGCAGGAATCGAAGAATGTTCGAATTGAGATGTTGGATATGGTCCAGATGGTCCATGTAACACTGCAACAAATATATTCATCAACAAAAGTACACAATAAATTAAAAGTACTAACTAAGACAACTTATAAACTTTATGCATTTTGAGTGAATTACTGAATTAATGTGCATTTTACCAGTTCCTTTTTCGATCCAAGGAGATATCAAGATGGCTGGAACCCTAACTCCTAAGCGATCAAACTGGAACTTGTAAGGCTCCGGTCCAACAAGGTCATCAGGGCTAGGAACTCCGGTGACAGGAGTCGGAACATGGTCGAAAAAACCACCATGCTCATCGTATACAATTACAAATACCATCTCATTCCATTGTGGACCTGATCTTAACGCTTCATAGACTTGTTTCACAAATTTTTGGCCCTCGAACACATCATGAGAAGGATGATCATCATTGCCTGGCAATATCTTTAGGTCAAAGTACCTCTGTTCAACCACTACATAATTTGGAAGCTTTCCCTCTTTGCAATGCCTTTTGAAAGTGAGATCAAAAGGGTGAAAGTTGTTCAAGTACTTGAGTTTCCGAAGATTCCTATAAGAATAGAAACGAAGTTACATTTTTTTCTCCACCCGAATATATATCATAGCGAGAAATATGATTAGAGAAATAAACAAGACTCCTTTGAACAACATATTTAATTATTATATACAAGTGAAGTCAATTAATTTTACCAAAGAATACAATTTTACTTTCTATTTATTTACTTTGCATATAGTAAGTAGATTTTCTAGCTTTTAACATATCAATCACTCTGGATGAGAATCAATCAGATTACAAATTTTCCCAATATCTCTAAAATTTTGATCATTTACATTTTCCATTAAAAGATTTGGATTTTTTTTTTCACACCATCCTAAAATGACTGCAGTGATGTTAATTTACTACTGTATATTATCATTATATTATCATTTTGGGACATAAAGACACTGCATTTCACTCTCGGAATTTTGCCATAATATCTGGAACATTATGTCAACGCCAACCCAAAAATAATATTAACGAACAATCGATCAGCTAAGAGGAGGCCGGCCAATTTTATAATAACTTCTTGTTAGCTCAGTTTATACAATGCACTTAGACGGTAGATTGTTTCTTCGTGTTGGCCACGTATATTTCTTTCCATTCTTGCAATTTTGCATCAAAGACTATACGATTTTAAAGACTATTACCCCCAAAAAAAAAAAAGAAAAAACATAGTTGCAATATCATTCCTCCTATAACAACTAATATGAGAAAGAATATTCGAGTACCTACTAAATGCTCTAATTTTTTAAAAATAAATTTTGCCAAAAGAAAATGGAAAACAGACGTATATCGAATATTCCTTTCAAATTATCTATATATGCATTTACATCAAGGAATGACTTCATTAACACATTTCTTAATGAAAAGACTTTGCTATCAGCACCACACAACTTGCTATACATATCTAGTGCTCGTTTCATTACCATTTAATCTATGCTAGCTAATTGATATGTACAATTTTTCACATGGCTTTCTAAACTTCACCAATTCATCCAATTCTTTTTTCTAGAAATTTCATTTGTGAATTCTTCATATAACCCAACTGACGAGAGGAACTTCTATATTTGCCACCCCCAAATAGGAAGGTCTAGCCGTCCTACCAAACTCACATACAACTTTGGTTGATATTGACACCGAATGATAAAAAAGATATCTACAAAAAAAATTCTCCATTTCAGATTGTTTTGTCCATATTACAAATTCATCATCATAATTTTTTATTTTTTTTCCTTTGTGGTAGGAAAAATTGAATATGTTAAAATGACTAGAAAACATCCCGCGAAGATTGGATGATAGGTACAAAAGATTAGACCAAATGGACTTTACCTCCATCTCAGGCTTATTGCAAATTCACACGCTCCCCCCCTCCCCCCCCCCCCCCCTCAAATTTATTTCCCTCTGTAAAGGATCAGTCCTATTTATAATTAAGGCACAAATTTAAAAGCCAACGATGAGTATCTTAAGTATTAAATCTGTCTATATAGGTTGAGTACTTGCCTTTATTGTTAGGGAGCTAGCGTGTTTTGAACTATTTTTATTGATGTTTTTTAAAATTCTAACTACCGTACGTACGAATAACACTAAGCATAAAATGGAGGGGGAAAAAACAATTTTATCATTTCCATTTTTATTGTAGGTGACTCCAAAATTAATTTAAAAATACATACAGCAAAAATGTCCTTTTCATATCTAATGCGTATAGGTATTTCCAAAGAAGAATATTAGGACGAAGAGATCAAATCAATTTTCCAAAATCAACGCACAAAACAAATCCATGTAAAGCAACAATACTGCATAAAACCATATTAATCTTTTGAAGGGGGAAAAAAAAAAGAGATTGAGACATTAGAGTTAGTATTTAGTACTCCCTCCGTCCCATAATTATTGTCCACTTTACCTAAAAAATTTTGTCCCAAAATTATAATCCAATTTGACTTTTTATGGATCAAGTTACACATTTGTCCTTAGTAAAAAACATTATCCATAAAATCTTAGTGGTTAAACAATTACTTATGTAGGGGTATATCCGGTCGTTTAAGGTAAAATATAGTTAAGTTTGACAAAAAATAAAATCTTTCATTTTAGTAAAATTGGACAATAATTATGAGACGGAGGGAGTATAATGTTTCCAATTAGTGCAATAATCATATAATAAATAAATAAAAATAACCTGTAGAAAAGTAATTTGTATGATTTTTTCAATGAATGCAATAACAATATAATAAAATACTCCCTCCGTCCCATAATTATTGTCCACTTTGCCCAAAAAATTTTGTCCCAAAATTATTGTCCAATTTGACTTTTTATGGATCAAGTTACACATTTGTCCTTAGTAAAAAACATTATCCATAAAATCTTAGTAGTTAAACAATTACTTATGTAGGGGTATATCCGGTTGTTTAAGGTAAAATATAGTTAAGTTTGACCAAAAATAAAATTTTTCATTTTAGTAAAAGTGGACAATAATTATGGGACGGAGGGAGTAAATAAAAACAAAATAACCTGTAGAAAAGTGTGGAAGGAGGGTCTTGGTAGTAAATCCCGAAGCTAAGACCAGCTTCATCCAAGGAATCAAATATGGTTTTCTGAGGCATCCCGGCCCGCAAAAGCTTTGTATCATTTCCGCTCAAACCATGAGAAGTAGCCGAATGCACATACAACCGGTTCGGCTGCGTGGATGCCGGAACCGACGCAAACCACCGGTCACACACGGCGAACTCCGACACCAGCTCTTTATAAACCGGCACCGCGTTCGGTTTGAACCCGTTCATCACGGTCTCGGACATCCCTTTCTGTTTCCTTTCAGCATCTTGTGCAAAACCCTGCATGGTGGGCGTTAGTTGCTTGGAAGCCACGTCTTGGCTCCATTGCACCCCGAAAATCTGTTCGTATATCTCTTGGATCGAGTGGCCCGGGTCCGGGTCAACGTACACGGATTTATCCCCGAAAAATATTTGGCCGGAGTTGGGATCGGAGGTGGACACAGGGTTGGAATATTCGGTTCCGGTGGCAACGCCGTCGATTTCCGGATTGAGGGTTTTCATCCATCCCAGCATGTGATCAAATGAGCGGTTTTCTTGTACTAGGACCACTATGGTTTTGATGGGAAATGGATTATTTGTTGGCTTAGAACCCATGATAATTTTCTAGATAGTATTGTGGAAATTTGTTTTGTTTGATGATCAATGTTGAATGATTTCGGCTTGGGATTGAGAGGAGTGTCAGAAGTTATAATAACTTTGAGAAAGTGGGGAGTTTGTCTGTGGGGAAGAATTGATATGATGGTGGATAATGTCTCTAATGTTAGAAGATGTAGTAAGCACAACCCTGCAAAAAGACGAATTGATTTTTTTTTTTTTTCTAGTTGTTGTAATATTATAATAATAAACATGACGAATATTTCCAAATAAAAAAATACGATGAAGAGAATAAATCTTGCTAGTTTGGTAATGTTTGAATTTGGAAATTTATCCTGCATTTTGGATAACACAAGAAGACGTGTTCAGATTAGATGTAAACGTATGTAGCAACTATTTATTAATATCAGACTATCAGTCAATTGCAAATTGGAGTGTGAAAGGAATTTGTAAATGGGAAGTCGATCAACTTAATTGAAGTGATACATATGATATATGATTTCGTGCTGAGTAATATAAACTACTTCCTTTGTCCCAAACACATAATTTACACTTTACATAAAGTGGAATTTAAAAACATAATTCCACTCTCTAAGAAAAAAACCACCGGAGAAAAAAATCTCCTCTCCCAATCTCCATTAACGGTGATTGAGGGAGCAAAATCAATGTTCTTCTTATCCCGCTACTCTCTGGATCTGATCATGGGCCACCAGAAAAAACAGAAAAATACACATCTATCCACTGACAGTGATCATCCGCACCATCGTCAGTGTCATTAACAACAACCGTCAAATCTCCAACTCCAAATCTCCATCGGTGATTGTTTGCTTGCTCTGCTCCATCCCCAGATCGTCAAACATGCTTCTTCGCCAGTATCATAGACGCGATCTGTTGATTAGCCGATGTTGTGTTATCTATTTACTTTATTTTTATTTTATTTTTCGTATTTTTACTGTTGTTTTTTAATTCAATTAAGTGGGATTTCCCACCCTCGGTATAGATCCTGGTTTGATTCTTTACTGAGTGAATGTAGTGCACCAACAGAGCCAGATCTGTTGTTTGCTTTTTGTGACTCAGTAGATCTTGCTTTTTGTGACTCAGTAGATCTTGTCCGATCTGCTGATTGTCGCACGTCGTCTTTAATGATGGCTAGTTTGGCTCGAGAATTTTCAGTCACGGCGAATCTATTATCTAGATTTACTAATTGGTGCTTTAATCTGATGGTTAGTGGCCTATTCGAGTTCAGATTTTTAGTCTGTTCCATTGTACATCCAACAATAGAACCATGCCGTTGAAGGATCTTTCCTCCCAAGAATAACAACTGGTTGGTGAAAGTTTTATTGTGTGTTTCCAGTTGTAATAGTTTAGTAACTAGTTTAGTGATTAGTTTAGTGATTGTATTCTTCTGTCAGTCATTGTTGGACGGTTTGTATCAATCAGAGCTGGTTGATTTTCAGCAATCGAGTTTATCTCTTAAAAAAAAAAAAAGATGAGAACTATTTTTTATTTTTATTTTTTTGATTAAAGGAGCATTAATCGTTATTCCAATTTAGTGGTTAGTTAGAAACCAAACCAATTTGCTAAATAAAATTGTGTCACTAGCCGCCCCTTACCTTTCAAACCAAACTATAAGAAGAACAAGTCGTCCCCCATTCCTCCATTTTACCTATTTTAATGGGTGTTTGTTTTTCTTGTGCTCTTGTTCATGCAATAAGCGGGACAGCTTACTGTTCTTCTTTTCTTTTTCCCAGAAATAAGATATACTTATATTAAAAATACAAACACAAACAATTAATATATATCAGGATTAAACCCTCTCTAATTAGAATAAGATACGTCGATTAGTTTTTGTGGTTTTATTAGTGACTAGATGGAATTTACGCGCTTCGCGCGTACGCATGTCATACCACATAGTGAAAAATTTATTAACTGACATAAAAACCGAATAAAAGAACACAATAAAATAATGATATCACAATCTGAAAATAGATGTAAGACACAATCAAATGCTTACATCACAATTAAAAAAATAAATAAAATATTTTTAAAAATTTTACGAGAAATACATGACACTGATTAAAAAATAATGATCAGGCAGTCACCTCTAATGAGATCGATATGAAGAGACGTCGTTGAGTATAGAAGGTAGAAATTTAAAAGAAAGAAAATGCAAATGTGACAAACTTTTTATTGTTAGGAATTATATACTAACAAATTCAAGAATCAAAACTCTTAGTATTCTTTTTGAGTTACGAAACAATATTTCAAACTTTCATTAATAAAGTCTTAATATTAAAAAAAAAAAGACGAAAAGACAATGAGAATTTAAAGAGGTAAAAGTAATTGAAACCTTTTGTTGACGGATGAAATCCACCTAATAATGAATACTAACCTGTTTATAATTATTAATTAAAATAAAGGTAAAAATTATTAATAAAAGGAAATAAAAGGTTGGAATATTAGAGGGTTACCAATTATAACATTTAAAACTTTTCATTTTCTTGGACAAAAAGTTAAAAGAAAAAAAAAACCATAAGGCTTAAAGAGATTTATAGACCGATTAAATTCACCTAATAATGGATATTAATTTATTTATAATCTTTAAATTAAATATTAAAGGAGAAATTACTAATGAAATAAGACTAAAAGTCCGAATATTAAAGGATTACTAATCAACAATGACTTCACAAAATAGTTGACAAAATAATGTTTTATCAAAAAATATTTTTTAAAAAAAGAATTTAAGTATTTTCTTGCTCCATCTTTCTTGCTCCCCTTCTTAGATTAAATTCATAATAATTCCCATCTAATTGGTAAATTATTAATGAAAGGTAGTCATAGATAATCACTTTAAGAAATAATTAATACTTGAAGCTACTACCAAACTCCAACAACATTGTGCAATTATAATATACTAGTGAGAACATAAGCGCTTCGTGCGTGTCCTATGCCATAATCATAATTATGGGGTATAAGAATTATTAATGAGAAAAAATAATTATATTATATAAAAATTAATTAACAATTTTTGGAACGTCTAAAATGGAAAAAAAATCAAGTTGAAAGAAATAATATTGTAGGGAGTACTTATGTAAATTGAGAAAGTATAAGCCAGTAATCAATAGGGGAAAATGCACATAAATAACGAAAAATGACTTTGTGCGAAATTATGTATTTTCTTCAAATTCATTAAATCATCATCATCTAACATATGATACAAGCAAATAAATTAGATGTTTTGAATAAGTTTAAAACTTGCACAGAACTTCGCATGAATCACATCACATGAATTATCACATAACTTTACAAGCTCAACTTGCCAGCGATCCAATTTCTCGACAATTTTAGATTTTCAATTCATTTGTACTCATCTAGTTTTTAACAAATAGAATAATAATAATCAATATATAACACATTAAACTTAGAGCATAAGAATATTAGAAATCTAGAATTGAGTTGAAATTGAAGCAATATAAAACTCAATGACGAAATTGTACATGTAATGTAATCCAACATGAAAAAAAAAATCACCTGATGTCTTGAACTACATATGAGACTGATGATGATCTATTCGTGCAAACTAATGATATTGTCACAAAATGTCATTCAGAGAGTAATCACGTCTTTGCGAGAAACTTATATAGATTATTTATATGGGTTAATTAACAAGAAAGGAGAGATGCGTATTGTGTTAATCAAAAAATATTTCACCTTCTCCTTAATGATAAGAAGAACTAATTAAATTACACGTTAATTAATTATAATTTATAATAAAGGCATTCATCTTCTCATTTTCATCGGTTACTTCAAAAAGAAAACGGCTAAAAAATTAATGTGTAAAAACATTTCAACTTCTCCACCATGATGAGCACCAATTAAATTATGCATCAAATAAATTATAATTAACAATAAAATGCAGTTATCTTCTCATCTTCATCAATTACTAGAAAATAAAACTGCTAAAAATTAATACATAAAAAATAACTACGAAAGTTGTACAGACTCGCAAATTATGTAAAGTCATACATCTCATCATTTTCATCAGTTAGTTGAAAAAGAAAACAACTAAAAAATTAATGTGTAAAATCATTTCAACTTCACCTCCATGATGATCACCAATTAAATTATGCATTAATTCAATAATAATTAATAAGATGATGTAGTTATTTTCCCATCTTCATCAGTTATTATATTACTTGAAATAAAACTGCTAAAAATTAATTAGAAAAATGACTACGAAACTTGTCCAAACTCGCTAATTATAATATATAGTGTACCAGGGGGCTTGAACGTGAATGAAGTTGCCGTGATTATATATTTTGAGTATAAAGTTTCACTATATGATTTTATTTATTTATTTATTTATGTTTTTGTGAATCATGTAATTAAAAGCGTGAAGTAAATTTTTTCAAGGTACGGTGCTTATTTGTATGTTGAGCTTTAGTGATGGTGGTTCACCCCAATTTTACGGTGGAAGAAGGGAGCAAAAAAGCACCACAACAATAGCTCAAACACAACCCATCATTCAAATTTCACCAAAAGTTGAGGTTATCTTACTGCAATGTATTAACACTATTGTGAGTAGAAGATAATTCAGTTGCAACTGTGAAAGTTCAATGAATTGAAGTTTTATAATTCAACATAATCTACAAATTCGTTGTGACTTCGTGTATTTTTTTCTCCCGTTTCATACTTTTGGTCCTTCTTTTCATGAATACCAAAGGTTAAAACCTTTATGATGATTAACAATGATAACTATTAGTGTTGGATAAATAAAGAGTTAAATAAAATTATAGTAATTAATTGTATTGATCTCATGAATAAATGAACAATAGACTAAACAATTATGCTTGAGGACTACCAAACTAAAATCCATATATCCCAATTATAATATAGTATGAATATGAGTATGATGATCGTTGGTTCAATATGCGCTACAAGAATTTAAATTATGGGAGTGACTTGTGATTCATCATTGACAAATTATATATGCTTTGAGAATTCTCACCGTCTCTTTTACTACTTTCATAAACTACTATAGCTTTTTTCACTCTTCCCCTCCCCACCCCCAATTTTTACAAAAAAATGTCACGGATTTGTCAACAAATTAAACTTGCAGTATTATTCAAATATATAAACTGATGAAAGACTTCGTCAACAAAAAATTGGA